CTAACCATATGCAGATCTCTCTCTCTCTCCCTACTAACCATATGCAGATCTCTCTCTCTCTCTCTCTCTCTCTCTCTCTCTCTCTCTCTGTGTGTGTGTGCGTGTGTGTGTGTGTGTGTGTGTGTGCGTGTGCGCGTGCGTGCGGGCGGGCGGGCGGGCGGGCGGGCGTATGTGTAAGACTGTGTGCCTGTGCCTGTGTGCGTGTGTGCGTGTGAGTGCGAGTCTCTCTGCGTGTGTGTATGTGTGTGTGTGTGTGTGCGCGCGCCTGTCAGCTCCACTCTCTCCAGCTCATCTCCTGAGCTGCTTCAAACACAGAAGCCTGCCCCTTCCGTCGTTGAGATGGCGAGGCGCAGCTTCATTACCGTCAGAGGTACCGCCAAACCATGCAGGTGAAACATGCAGGCAGCGTCCAGAAGAGAGATCCAGCGCTCTGACCTCACCAGTACGCAACAAGGAAAATGTAGGGCGCTATCCCATTCTTTTTTGTTTGTGAAAATTGGCCTCAACAAAATCCTTGTACCCGTACCAACTGGACCAACCAAATCAATTACCTGTCCAATCTGGACAGGACGGCCCTTCAGGCCATTTTTATTGTCACTATACTTTCACGGGGAACCCGGTAGTAGCAGCCACATCCGTGCTCAAGCCTCCAACGAGGGAACATGCGGGAGCTGCACCCACCAGCAGGTACGGTACTGGCCAGGGGTCAGCCGGTACCAACAGGACTGGGCTTCTTCGATGGGCCAGTGGTTATGCCTCCCCTTCGGTCCCTTCGCCCTATCAACATCAGCAGTCTCTGCTCAATGCCACTTAGGGGGACCAACGGCCTATCTCTAGGTGGCGGGCGCCAAGCTTGCCAAGGGAGGTAGATGATTCAATGGGGATTGAACCCAGGACCTCCTGAATGCCACGGACGTGCCTTACCAACTGAGCTATAGGCCCCTGGATAAATACTACAGTTCTGAATTACCTAGGGCCGGACCGTTGGATGCTGATATCTCAAGGCCAAAACCCCTTTGTATTAATTTGTCCCCAGATGGGGCAAAAAGTGCCGCACGAAGCAAATTTACTTTTTCCCTGGTTGGGCAGGTAAAAAACTCTTTCGGCGTACCCGAACAGGTACCGGTCCAAGGGGTTCTAGAAGTGTGGCTGGCAAAGCTGTTACCTTAGCGCAGACTTATTGAGGTACCGGAACAGGCTCCAGGTCCTGGTCCAGGGTTCAAAGTAGTGTGGCTGGCTTAGCTGTCACCCTAGTACTGGCTAAGATCTTACCAGGTAACAGAGGATCTTCAGTATCATACTGCAAATGGCCTAGTAACTAAGCTATCACTAGGGATATCAACTCATCTATCAACTAGGCCATCGACTTACTTATCAACTAGGGGTACTGATCCCCCTACTCGACTAGGCTATAAATTAGGCTATCTACTAGGCTATCAACCACGATCTTAAGCCACTTGAACCTTTCCCAGATATGGGCCGCAGGCCCTGCGCGCCGGGTTTTGGTGACGCATCTGGCCGCCGTCGAAGGCCGAATGCGGCCTCCGTGTTAACCGGCGCTGTCGGCGTGAATACCCTTACAAGGGTATCCGCCCCAGTTTTTCCAAGCGACAGAAAATAGTTCTGGTTTGAAGTTTGAGTATACCGCGCTAGGCGCGGCCGCGTCTGTGATTTACGATTGACTGGTTGGCTGGCTAGTATAGAGAGTGCGTGGGCGCGCAGGGTTAAGACGCGCGTGATTCTTTTCCGTCGTTGATCGGAGAGCTGACATGGACGTCGGCCGTTTCGTTTAATGATATTTTATTATTGTTTTATTTACGTTTGACTAAGCAGGAATTAAAGATATTTTCATTTGATGGCTACGCCTGACCGAGTCGGGCGCGTGTGCGGAGGACGACCCCAACGACGGCATCGGCGACGACGGCGCGATTTCGTACGGTGAGCAGGGTGTCGTGGGATGGCGCGCGGGGCAATTATGGCACGGTGTGAGCAAGCCGGCGCGGGCATTGGGAGCCGCGTAGCCGATTTGTAGGCCCCAAAGCGCGGCCCTGCATTGCCCTATATGGCACTCCGCGTGTATTGGTCTCAGGCTTGGGCCTAGCCCTATAGGTTACGACGTTGGGCTATTACTACGGAGGCTCCGGGATCGAGGCCAGCGGACGCCGGCGCGACAGCGGTGGAGCATCGAGAAGAAAGCCGATGGGGTTGAGGGCCGCCAGGGCTATCCCCCTCGATTTTGTTTACGGGCGCGGCGGCGGGCTCGATCCGCGGGACTGACGAGGCGCCAACATCCCGCTGTTCCCCCGATATTAATTCTTATTTCATTTTTTATTCTTTGTTTTACTCCCGCATTTGTTTTATTTACCGTGTCCCGTTTTGGGACGCGGGACTGCGGTAGGAGCACGTGGGGGTGTGTTGTATTTGCAAGGTTGCCTGAAATGCGGTTGTAGACTGTCGTAGTAGCTACGCCGGAGCCACGCCCGACACCGGTTCGCCTGG